GTCTTTGTAAATCATTGTAAAGTATGACTTCCTCTTCTGGCAATGCTGTTACATGATAGACGTAAGCACAATGTGGATTTAAAATCGTTACCGGCCCCTCTAGCAATAATAATAATAATCCTCGTCTATATTACTTTTTCTTAATCACCACGTTTGATCACGTACTGACGGATCATTGTTTCATTGCTTATTTTTCATTTTTCTTATTCGTTGCTCATTTTTTAATTCACATGATCGCTCGATATCTTGTACCATATAATTTGAATTTATTTACGTTACATTGCATTGTGTAATTCAGATCAGTTGCTACTTTCTTAATCACTGTGTTCGAATGTTCCTATTTTGAATGGATAATTAAAATTTTTATTTGTGTATCTGCATGTTTTGCTCTAAATGTGTTCGTTTATCAAAAAAATTTAAAGTTTACTCAAACTGCTTAGTTTATAATATATGTTAGAGAATGCTTATTTTTATAAGTAAATGTTAATACCCATTCTCTTATTCATATGATAAATCAGGTCTACAATTATCTCTCGTCGGGTTATTCCAACTCCTCAGCTGCCTTCGCGCCTCACGAATAGCGATCTTAATAACGCAGAATGGGATCTTCATGTTGAAAACGAAATAACTCCTGGAGACAATCACCATCATAGTATAAATGCCTCCTCCCTACAACAAGCACCCTCACGAGCTATTCTTTCATTCAATATTGCATCCGGAGTCGCCATTACTAGATCGACTGACCCAATTTATAATGAATTTTTTTCCGGTAGTGTTGGGGGCAATAGTCGTTTGGGTTTGTCCGATGACACAATGGTGGTCGTTTGCAATTGTGGTCGACCGGCCATCGAGTTGACCGTGCGCAAAGAAGGACCCAATCAAGGTCTGATTTGAATGCTGCCCTATTAAGGCATTTGACTGTTGGCTATCTCTAAGTTCTTTGTTTTAATTTCTGCATAATCTTTTTTCTTTATCTACCCTTTTATTTTCATATTACTGCTTGTCTTCGACCTTTTTCCTGTGTATGAATGCAACTTTTTCAAGCTTATATTTTCGTCTTCTTTCTGCAATGACATTTTTTTTAATGCTTTGTTTTCACCATATTAAAGTTTTGGTTCGTTCACTCCTTAGGGTATCATGCTTTAGTTAATGCTCAGTTTTAATATTTTGCATGTAAAAATATTACCATATCTTAGCATGATTCTTCAACTAACTTCCAACTGAAACTAGGCCAGGAAAGTGGGTTGACCTCGTTGTCGCAACTTGGTCTTGAGTTCAGAGAGACTATGTAGAACGAACCTAGTCCGAAGTCGTCTGCCATAGTAGTTGTCTTGATTCCTAGA